GAGGGGCCCAGAACTGAACACAATATTCTGATGATGGGATTGCTTCAATATGCCAGTTAACAAAAGCTAGGTAGTTTGCTAAGGGAGGGAAAAACCTGTCACTCTTCTTGGACGTGCACACTGAAAGAATGGGAGGCAATGAACACAAGTTGCCATCAGGGAAATGTTGTTTAGGTTTTAGGGAAAAAAAAGTATGATGACAGAGGTCAGTGTTGAAACAGATTGAGTAGAAAGGCTGCGTAATGTGGATGTGACTCTGATTGACTTCATTTAAGTCATTTGAGATAAAGGTTGCACTAAATTACCTTGAAAGACCCTACCAACTTACTTTTTCCATGATTCTAAGTGGTAATAAGAGCAGTATCCTGTGATAAGCATTGAAGAAGTAGCAAAAAATTCGGTAAAATTGTCTAATCTGTCTCACAAGAAATCACATCAGATCCATTTGAAATAAATCAACTTTTAATAAAAGTAAAAAGCTTTTTTTGCTTTTTACTCTGTGCACTCAAAGCAAAATACTTTGTTTGGAATTAATTTATATGAGTTTGATTCAGAAAACAAAATGATTCTTCACTAGTCATTTTAAACTGTCTGTGATTTCTCCCTAGTCCTATGGTGGGTACGTAACTTCTTTGGCACTGGCATCTGGCAGTGGAGTATTTAAATGTGGAATGGCTGTGGCTCCTGTTTCCAGCTGGGAATATTACGGTATGGAAACTTGTCATAAATACTGACTTGGAAAGCAAGATGTAGCATTTAATGACTTTCTAAATGAAATCATTGCTGGAGACTGGCAATATGAAACTTAAAGGCATTGCAGTTACCTAGAAATAAAACCTTTAAGATCTTAAGTTTAATGTTTTTCTTGCTGGAAATAACTGACTGCAATTGTCAGTTTGGAATAGACTTTGTCACATAGGAGAAGGTACACCCAGATAATTCCATATGCACATCTGTAACAGTAAGTGTGTACAGCCCTCTTGATAAACTGCTATACATGGGAGTCATCTCCTTAAAAATCCTGTTAAAACAGTATCATTGAATTCAGAAACAGCTGAAATTCTTTTTCTGCCAGGAATGGAATCACAATGCACTTCAACTTCAGACACTGCAGACTATCTGTGTCAGGAATCAGTATCTTTGTTGATTGCAGAGTTATTTCCCAAAAGCAGTGGAAAAGAGAGGGACTCAGTTGTGTCTGATTTTTATTTTCACTAAATATTTTTCCCGTTAGATGTTTCTCAGCCACACCTCCTGTGTTGTGTTACGAGACATTTTTATTTATGTTTATTGACTGAAGCTCCAAACTGTTCAGAGGAAACAACTCCGGGAGTAAACTCTCAGGGCCTTACTGTGTGAATAAAGCAGGCACATACTCATACTTAGTTGCAGACCTGTTAAGCTTTTGGCATGGTGCAAAGGAACCTTAGTGTAAAAAAGAATCATGGCATGCGTGTTTTCAATGAGCAAAATATAGCACTTTGAACACATTTACTTAGCATATGGTCGTTTGCTAAGAAGTCTTGGTTATGAGAAATTTTTTTGGTTAAATGGGAAAGATTCCTTCCCTGACTGCTAGCACAGGCATTCCTTGTATTTATGGTGTTTTGCAAACAAAGGGGAAAACATTTGTATGACACAGGAAGCATAGTCTTCATGTTTTCACTGGCATCAGGATTTTTTAAAGACATTTGCACTCGTGATCACAAAAATTATTTCCAGAATGCAGGCATAAAGCATTATTTTTGCAAAAGTCCTTCTGTAAAAGAAGAGTTACAAACATTTGTCCAAGGAATAAAAACTGAATGAAGTTTTAAAAAGTAGATTAGACCCGCACCATTGCAACTGTTACTGTACCTGAATTTTCAGGAGGGAATTATCTTGCTAAAAAACTCACTGCAGAATCCAAACAAGCAAGCGTGCCTCCACTAAGGAAGGAAGGAAGGAAGGAAGGAAGCAGAAAGCAGTCTTGAGTCACAGGTTTTGGCAAACAGATCATGTTAACACTGGGGTGAACTGTGCTAGGGGCACAACTACCGGATGCTGCGTGCTTGAGTCTCTAAGTAATATCAGTGTGGCTGAGGATGTACTGGCCCCTAGAGCTTCTAAATTTTGTCCCACTCTCTTTTAGATGCACAGATTATCTGGACCATAATCTTTTCTCTGAAATCCTCCCACTCACCTCCATTTCGTGTCAGAGTTAATAACAGCCAGACAGTTATAAGACAGCAAGGGAAATTGCATTTGGGGACAATGTATAGTTAAAAGTATTAGATCTGTGACTGTTTTATTAAAATTCACAATTTATCTCCTTTTTCTTCCTCAGTAATTGACAAGCCAAATCTTCCACTTAGACATTATAATGCAATTCTGCTGACCTTTGTGGACTTGTTGTAGCTATACTGGTAGAAGAGAGTGGAGAATTTGGCTCAGAATACTGTAGAAATGCCAACCATTCAGAAAGAGTCTATTTTATTGAAAACTTAAGCCCAATATGGTTGTTTGACACTGTGTTGACAACAGATATTGCACATTTTCTGTTTCATTGAATGATAACAGATTTTGATAAAAGATAGGCTACTTAGACTTTTTTGGTACTTAGTTTATTACAAATTATTTTCAGGAGCCTTACATGGTTGATCTGGGAGAAATAGCACGCATCTTTAGTGCTCAGTGGTAACATATGTAAAGGATACATAATAAACCACAGGAACATGAGTATATTGAGTAATTTTCCTTTCCTGGGAGGATTCTCATTTCTACTTTTTAACAAAATTACTCCCATGCAGTGTACTAAACTGAGCAAAACCAATCCCAATTCCTTACTGATTACAATGTCCATCACCTCTCTTATGTGAAGGAAAGATGCCAGCTCTTCTTCGTCAGAAAGCCCTGACTCCGTAAATTAAATAAAATTCTTGTAATACTGCAGCTCGACTGCTCAATATGTGTCAGTTACTCTTTCAAGGCAAGGTCAGAAAGAAAGTAGTGTTCTGGCAGTGACAGCTGCTGTGTCAGTTTTCCACAAATTTTCATCACAGCTGTTAGTTAAATTACAAATACCCAGGCAGCTCAAAGATAGCTGTTCTTACTGATTTCTTGGTGGAAGATACTGTTCAGTTATTCACATTTGTTTTGTCAAATCTGTTAACAGACTTTGTTGTGGTTAGAAAAAGGAATTGAGCAGAGACCTGAACAGCAATTGCACCACTTTTTCAGTGCAAGCCTGAATCATCTTCTGCTCTCCCCAATTGGTGCATTCATAGGAAAAGGACAACCTATATATCCATATTTACTGTATATACACATACACATCCCAGGCTGAAATTCTGCTCACAGTCTCTTTTTAAGGTGTCAAAAATAGTCTGTGTCATCCTTCCACCATGCACTTTTTTGGCTCTTTGGTTTATTCAACTCACTTCTGGAGTTCAACCCAACAGCATAAAGCAGTATCTGCTAATTACCTTTATCCAGAAAACCTTCTGCTGATTCCACAGATGACTATCAAACCACTATTTCTGCAAGGACGGTTTGGATGACATTTATTAATTAACCTTCATAGTTGATTTTTTAAAATATGTTTTATAAGGAAACCAAGCAGAACAGATACAGTTAAAATAAACAATATTTAATTTGCCATGTGTCACTGGAGGCACAAAAATATCTGTGCATTATTTATCTATAGCTTTTTCCTTTAATATTGCAGCATCTATCTACACAGAACGATTTATGGGTCTTCCTATAGAGTCGGATAATCTTGAGCACTACAAGGTGAGAATTCTCTTTCTGTGCTGATCTGTCTTAAACTTCAATCACACTTCCATGGACAAGTAGAACTGTGAAGAAAGAAAATGACCTGCCAGCTCTCTTAGTGGCAGTCCTGTAGCAGCTAGGCTACTGCTGTGAAATTCATCTCTCTGTAGTTACTTATGGGTTTGTATTTATCAATCCTAAATATGCTAAATTGAAAGATCCTTGTTTTCTCACTTGGACAAGTCAGACAATTCTGCCAGTTCAAACCATTAGCCTAGGAAAGAACTCATTTGTGAGAGGTTAAAATGTTGATGTTGATAAGGTTTTGATTGATACTGTTAGCTGTGGTATGCAAACTGCTTAATGCAAATTTAGGTCTCTGATAATAAGCATAGTAAAAGGACAGAACAGCTTCCCCTACCTGGAACAGGTTACCTTTCTTCTTTCCTTCAAATTGTTAGGAAGTCTACAGCTTCCTCTAGCAGCATACACACCAGTACTGGTTAATGCCCAAAGCATACGCACCAGTTCTGATTAATGCCCAAAGAAGTTAGTAGAAAGACTCCTGTTAAAGATTTTGGAACACATTCTCAGTACCTATTCTCCATCTCAACTCAAAGAACAGAAATGCTTAATTCCAGACTGCCCTGGTAGAGCTGTCTGGGTAGCCAGGAATTTCAGTGTTCAGGGAATGACACATGGCTAGTGCTGCGCTTTTCATTAACGAGCCCTTAGAAGAGGCACTAAATGTATATGGCTTCTATTATAATCTCAGATATGAAGTCACTGCTGTCATTATTATGCCAGTCCAACTGTTTGATTGTTGTTCAACTAGGTTATGAAAGCCTTTCAGCTCTGTGACTGAGTGGTTTAAATTGAAGCTGCTGAACTGTTCATTTTTCCTCTCAACAGAATTCAACTGTGATGGCAAGAGCAAAGAATTTCCAAAACGTAGAGTATCTTCTCATCCATGGAACAGCAGATGGTGAGGTTTGCAAATGGCAGTACAAATACAGAGCCAGAATCACTTTGTTTGAAAAACATTAAGCATATTTCTGTGCCTTTGATTAGGGTCAGTACTTAGATCTTTGGTAGATCTCCATATGACATTATAAGATGCTTACTCATTCTTAGTAATGTCAACTGTATCACTTGATAATTACTGGACACAACTCAATGCACTATAACTTTATGCTTTGTGGTATTTACACATTTCAACAGCCAGTCTTTTTTCTCTTTTTCAGATAATGTACATTTTCAGAACTCAGCACAAATTGCAAAAGCTCTGGTTAATGCACAAGTGGATTTCCAGGCAATGGTAAATAACAGACTATTTTTCATTTTGAACAGTACTTTATAGCTTTATCAATAAAATCTGACAATAAATTAGAAAAAAATAAAGAAATAAAATTAAAAAATAAATAAAAAGCTTTATCAATAAATAGGACATTTGGCAATGTTTTTAAGAACCCAGTTCAATTGAACATGCTTCAATACCTGGCAATTACTAGTGCATTTGTCACTCTTCATAAATAGTTTCTTCCTCAGCAGATTTGCCTGCCATCATAGAGGTATTTAAAATTAGCCAGGGAGAAAAATGAGAATCCAGCCTCATTATGAAAGTTGCTGATGGCTGGTAAAAGAGAGGAAGATGAAGGAGCTGGCTTCTGGGGCCAAAACCATCACTGCTTCTGATGGATTCTGTCTTGAACTGGACTTGCCTGCCACAGGCACAAGGTGAAACAAGCAAAAATAGTATAAAGTATCCAAATAGTGTATACTGGATCAGGAAGAAAAACAAAAACAAACAACAACAAAAACAAAACAAAAAAAAACCCACCAAGTTCTCAGCAAAACTTGATTGGGGTAGCAGACAAAGAGAGAAACACGTAGGCAAGAGGTTAGAGGATACAAATGAGGAATGGACAGGGGAAAGGTCGTTCTGAATTACACGCTAAGCTCTGCTTCTACACCTTTTTTCTTGGGGCTAATGACCAAAGTGTTTGCCTGCTATCAAAGTATTGGCCTTCTGCCCAAGTCCACTTTCCCCAGACCATGAACTCCCCAGAAAGGGATTCCCCTGTATTTGGTGTTTGTACGCCCTTTTGTGAATCCCACATTTTCTGTCTCCTTCACTGATACCCCTAAGGGCATCTCAAAGCTCTTTTGCCTGACTTGACACAACTGACTTGTCAGTTCTGAGGTAGTAACACTTACTCAGAGATTACAGAAGGTTTAGAAAGTTTTTTTCAGCAAGAATATGAATATACGGGAAACTGATGAAAAGAAAATAGATTAGCAAGTCCCTCTGTTTTCTTTAGGCATCCACTTTCTTCTATATAGTAGTAAAATAAAGTTCTTGTACTGTTTAACTGTTGCAGAATTCAGAACATAATATATGGGTTTTATGGATTTTTTTTTTCTTTTTCAGTGGTACACTGACCAGAACCATGGAATTCCAGGCCTTTCCAGCAAACATCTCTACACACATATGACCCACTTCCTCAAACAATGTTTTTCTTTGTCAGAATAAGCAGGCTATTCAGAGCATGCGAAGGCCTCTGACACATCTCTGGGAGAATACAATGATTACAGTGCCCAGGTTATGTCGTTTTCAGGTGAACTGATAACAGGAACTTTGGAGTTTTAAACTTGACATTTACATCCACTTTTGATATTGTAAATATATTGGCCAATGTTATGCTAATACATGTTTTGGCACATTTAACGCCTGTTTGATAGAAAAAATAAAATCAGAATGTAAAATGCCATGTGCATTTATTGACATCTTGCTTAAACTTACATTCTGGAATCCAAAGATAGGTGGTCCACTGCAGAAGCACACTGCCAAATGAATATGCTTCCATTTGTTAACTGTAACTGTAAAACGGGAAAGGACAAAGAAAGCAGTGCGAGTACCTAATTAGCATCCTAACAAGAACCACTTTCTTAAAATTTGTTTCCAGTTTCTTGGAAAGAATCCAAGCAGGGATAGGAATACACAATATTTAAAGCTGAAGTTTGGATAATTATCCAGAATAGTGAATGCTGTGTTCAAATTTTATTCAGCTCTTACTTGAAACCTTGATTCTGCAAAACTCTGTGTTCAGGATTAAATATGAAAGCAGGACATTCATGATAGCTATTTTATCTGTGTGTTTCTTCTCCTTGTGTTCAGCATATGAGAGCCATATTAGGCTGTTTTTAATCTCTAATCATCACCTCAGCATTCAAATTAATCTCAGTGTCATTCATCCCAGACTGGAGGGAAAGGATAAAAGGATTATGCAGGCTTTCTTTGCTTTGTTTCCAGTGAAACTATTTTAGGGAGTCTTTTAAAAATGCTAGAGGCTAATAATGATTCGAATACTTGTATTCTTTTGATTAGTAATTAAATCAGTCCTGACACAATATAAGAATATGAACAAGATAACGGGCAAGAGATCCATTGTAGATGAAATGATTCTCTGGACACATGTTTAAAAAATTCTGAGCTAGCCTACTGCATAAGAACCGTGGTCTGTCTCACACAGTATCTCATCTATGCTAGTAGCTGGTGAGAGTACAAATGGAATAGACTTCTCACAAAGCAAGCTGCTTCCTAACTCTGAGATTGGTTGCTGCTTCTTTGTGGAAAAGCAAAGGATTTCATTTGACCCTCTTGACAAAAACATGGGGTTTAGCCAAAATCATTAAAACGTGGAAGTGATTTGCTATGTAACAGCTTCCTTCGTTTTGTTAATGCCAATATCAAATCTGATTTTCCACACATGAGAACATTTCTCAGACACATCTTTATGTAAATGTAGTTGCCAAGCTGTTTGTAATGGTGAAATTATACTTTGATGGGAACTCTTCAGAAAATACTCAATTAGTTCAGGTTTTTTTTGGAAACGCTGCCAATTATGTGACGTTAATGAGCTTTTTGTTGGTAATGTAATTAAAATTCAACTGCTATAATGGTTAAAGGAAAAAATCATAGCTCTAAGAAAGTTAACATTAAGCAAATATAACATGAAGTGGTTCTAATTAGATGTTGATTATATGGTCCTATGTGCATTTGCTGCACACAAGAGTAGTCTCAGTAATGTGGTTATTTTACAAATAAGGAATACAATTCAGTATGATTTACTGAGATTTAACTCTCAATTTCTTACACCACCACAGAAACCATTGCAAAATTGTGGTGAAAGAGAGAAAAATCAAGCTCTTATCCCAAACACCTAAAGGTTTTAGATACCTGAATGCCAGGTGGAGCCTAGAGCAATTTTCAAAAAAGCATGGTATCAGTCTCATATTAACACCAATATATTAAGTTCTCTTTAAATTTCTGCGCCTTTATTTTTATTTATAGCTTTGAAAATACTATAAGCTCTGAAAATTTGGTCAGACAAACTGGCCCTTTGTGGATACTATAAGTAACAAAGGGATGCAATGTGTTGTTCACACCCTACAGGTCTGTAGTCAGAAGCTTCTGGAAGTATTTGGAGTTAGAGACATTTAAGGAAAATGTGTCAAATAAAATAACAGAAGGTACCTCTTTCCCAAGGGATGCATTAGCTGTTTCATTATTAAGCTGCCCTTATGTCTGTTTGTTTCCTATGGCAATCAGAGTACACATCTTCCAAACTGTCCACTATGTACCTTGGCTTGTAGGAGCAGTTGTGGGGATAAAACGTGAAAAAATAAGTGCACCATGCTGCTGTCAGTTTTGCTTCATTGTTTTTCATGTTGTTAATTTATTTGCCTTACACAGTGTTCTTGCCAAAAAACAGGAATATGTCTTCAGCAGAGTGTGACATTTACACTGAGTTGCTGGAATAATGTCTGACTTGAAAGCTTTATGACTGAGCAACCATGTATTCTGATGACCTGGGGAAAACGTCCTAGGATGCTGTGAGTGACAAAAAAAACCTCTTAAAAACATACACATCAAATTGCTGGCCTGTGCTAATAACTGGTAGCATTGCAGTCATTCATTAGACATGGTGCAGAGCACTTCAAACCTGCCACCTATCACAGAGTCACAGAATGGTTGGAGTTGGAAGGGAACTTTGTAGGTCATCTTGTCCCTGTTCAACCTCTCTGGGCTACCTCTGCCAGTGCTTGGTCATCCTCATAGTAAAAAAGTGTTTCCTTGTGTTCAGACAGAACCTTCTGTGTTTCAGTTTGTGTCTATTGCCTGGCTCCATCTTCTTTACACCCTCCCTCCAGGTATTTATCTACAGTGATGAGATCTTCCCAAGCCTTTTCTTATTCTATTCTGCATTGCTGTCTACAGTCACGATCCATGTTATGTGGACAGTTATTTCCCCCATTCCTTTTTAATCTAGCATACAGTGTAGTCTCTTCTGCAACAGAGCTTCTACACAGTTCAAGGTTAAAGGGCTTGTCCTGAGGAATCAAGCTGAAGCTAACAAAAATATCTCTAAGTGTTAGCATTATATAAGAATAAAAAGTAATAATAAATAAATACTGCAGACGTAGAATATGGTATGTAAGAGCCAACACTGGGACACAACTTATTATGAAACTAAAAAATGATAGCTTTTATGACAAGATTTTCTAAGCTGATGAATTAATATCCTCAAAGTTTTGCTTCCCACCCTCAAGTTTTAGAGGATCCAGTTTTCAGAAAACACTGAGCACTTTCTGCTCTTCTTTTCCCTTTTGAATAAGAATCTCACACTTCAGATACCCAAAAATACCACTTCAGACAATGAAACTTCATCTTCAAGTATCTGTCTATATATAAAGAAGGTATACAGGCCTCTGAAGATGGGACATAGTTGTTCTGAATTAAGTAGACAAGCCCTTGATAAATAGCCACAGATACAGTTGTTTACAAATGGGTTTCCACTATGAATAGTGATTAGTTTTTACGAAATGAAGCTAGAGCTGCAAAAACAACTACTTTATTCTGTGAACTGAAGCGTACATAAATAGTAGCAAAACCACTGGTTCCACTCCAAACCATTCATTCCCCAACACCTATTTTCATGGTCTACCTCTCTCATGCTGTGTGAGTTGTACATATCAATGAACATGCAATCTTCATATCTAAAACATGGAACTACATCCTTTGCTTCACTTAGGATTACTGCAGCTGCAAAGAAGAAAAGGCCTGAAGAGAAAACACCATTAATGAAAAAACGAGTATAAACCCAGCCAGGCTCCAGAACATGGTTGTTATACTCATTTTACTCAGATATCAAGTAAAATTCAGACTGCATTCAATATTTTCCAGTTTGCCAGTTAGTTCCAATTACAAGGCACAGCTGTTTAGTACATTTTATAGAGTCATTTGAAGGCTCTATATTTAATCTAAATAATTCATAGTATTTGCTAAGAGCATTTGGTATTACTTTCAATTATGAACATTGTCTTCTCAGAATGTAAAGTAACTAGTACATACTTGGCTAGCTCTTCTGCTTGCGCAAATTGCTGCAGCTCCATTAACTTCAAATGGAGCGGTTCCAATTTATGTGAGCAGACAGTGTGGGCTACAGCATAGTTACAATAGGTCTCTTTCCTGAGGTACAAACCCATCAGCATCAACAGCAGTGAGCTTGGAGTTGCATGCTGTGGAAAGGCTTAAAGACCTTGAACTAATCCTTCATTTCAGAAAGCCATTCTTGCTCTCCAGTGTGTATCCATGGAGCTGTATACATGTATACACATACATCTATGTGTTATCTATATGTATGTACACATGTATGTAGGTATGTAACGTGATGCACATTTTTTTTGGTATGTATGTTTCACAGAATCGCAGGACATTAGGGATTGGAAGGGACCTCAAAAGATCATCCAGTCCAATCCCCCTGCTGGAGCAGGAACACCCAGATGAGGTTACACAGGAAGGCGTCCAGGCGGGTTTTGAATGTCTCCAGAGAAGGAGACTCCACAACCTCTCTGGGCAGCCTGGTCCAGTGCTCTGTTACCCTCACTGAGAAGAAGTTTCTTCTCAAATTTAAGTGGAACCTCCTGTGTTCCAGCTTGTGTCCGTTACCCTTGTCTTATCATTGTTTGTCACCGAGAAGAGCCTGGCTCCATCCTCATGACACTCACCCTTTATATATTTATAAACATTAATGAGGTCTCCCCTCAGTCTCCTCTTCTGCAAACTAAAGAGACCCACATATGTTCTTCCTGTATATGTGGCACTAATTCCCAGAAGGGGAATGCAGAGCTCTTTCGACTGATTATGATCTAGCAAGGATAGGAAAATAAAAGAGGCTGCACAGCCCAGCCTCTGAACTCACAGCTGACAAGGTTAGGGAGAGAAGAACACTTCCCGTCCAATGTAAGAAAGAAAAGCATGAGGGCCTGTAGTCATATCCCAAGATACATCTTCCTCCCTCCCATATTCATAGATATGTCATGGATAATAATATAATAACAATAAATATGTAATGAAGAAATACACAGGAAAATGTGGGAGGTTCACTTTTTTGAAAGCATTTGTTGACGCTTTTTTACTTTTTTTACTTTCAAAAGTCAGCAACTTACTAATTCATTAAAATGTTCAAATCTTGATGATTCAATTTTTTTATATTATTTTTTTCTTATACCAACAATTAAGGTTGAGAGAAACATCCTAGAAAACTACGATATTCAGAGAATCCTAGACAGTTATAAGAAATACATTGGTCCTGTTTTTCCGAA